AGCAATCTCTCACAAAGATCACTCCGAATTATGCAAAAATAATTACTTACTAAAAATATCTGTATCATATCCGCCATTTTGGAATAGTATAGGTATCATAAATCATTAGTTAATGGGAGACCTTGAGACGGATGTGAGTCGGTTTGTTTGTCATCTCGAATGTCCCTGTTTATTCAACCGGGTATTTAAGTACCCACTGTTTATTTATTTCTATTTGATTTTTTGACTTAAATGTATACTTAGCCGTTGAGAATAGATTTTTGTCGGTCTTTTGGTTTAGCTTTTGATGATTGTCGGCAGGTGGAACTTGACTGTACCTACATGCATTTATATGGATGAATATGTTGCTAAGCAAAGCTAGATCACTGCTGGACTTCTTGTTCGTTTATTATTACGGGAAGGTTTTTATAAGGTAGAAAGTATAATATAGGACGGTGTTTAATGTGTATCGCTACATTAACGATCTCAGCTTGTTAAAAGATTTTTCTACTTATGGAAATGCTATTCGTTTTAGATTTATTTTAAAATAAGTATTCGAACTTACGAAAGTTTACACTGTGTCAGAGGACTAACTGCGCTTCAACAATTTAAGTAAACTGTCAGATAACGAGTGGTGAAACATTTTCGTCTCGAAATATATAAATCTTGAATCACCAACAGGCTATCAAAAAACAATTAGTATCTTGTTCAAAAAAAATGATCCGGGTATTGAACCATAATTGATACGATTTTCTTAATGATGAATAATTTTACGAAAATTTTGAGGAAGCTAATGTCATAAAAATTGCGTGTTAACCAAGTAACTAATATAATCTTGATGCCTTAATGATCACCGAAAGACAGCAATCTTTGCAAAAGATATGAAAGCTTATTTTTTAATCTTTTACCCTTTTTAAATGGCAACAGAGTATACTTACTTAGTTTTGTATAAGAAGGATTAAGTTCCCAGTTGTTTCCTCCAAAAGTCAATTACACGGTTGAATTCGCCTTCGGAACAATGCGGAGGCTTTTTTTCACTTGCAGGCTGCGGTTCCAATTGCTATAGGTATTTTGGGAACGTTTCGTCATTTATAATCGGTTATTGGCTTTGTTAATATCGTTGTACGAAGTGTTTAAATTAAGAATCATGTTGGATACGTACAATATGTTCAGAATAAACTAAAATTTTAATTAAAAAACGTTGAGTACAAATAGGTAGGTACTATCGATGTTTATAACTTTCGAAGCAATTAATTACAGATTAATGAAAAGCCTATGAGGCCTTAGCTCTTTAAAACGTGTACAATAGAATGGCCATGAATATCGCGTTAAAAGCAATTAAATCGATACCTCTATTGAGATCACAACCACAGGAATGCGCGTTGATGTCTTTTACTCTACGAACGCAAACTTGCGCACACGCATACCGAAACGTTCTCTCTGTATATACATCATAAAAATATAGATAAGTTCACTCTAGAGACAGTTAAATGATCATACAGCTTCAGATAAAGTACTTGAAAGTAACATAACCCATCAAAACAACTTTCTAGTCCGTCGACTTAGAAATGGCAGGTGTTACTTCAAGCTTTAGTACAAAGTTTCATAAACACTTAAATAGATAATGTGTGAACTTACAGCGTTTATACATAAGACTTATTATAAAAGATGAAAGCATTTCTCTGCACATACTAGCAAGTTACAACTATACATACTATTATGTTCAATATAGAGTCACGCACACATGCATACAATAATATTTTAGGTTTAAACCTCAAATAGGTATAACTCACCATCGTGGCCATTGATTTAGACCAATTATAAACCCATTTCTTGGTTCAGAACACGGTTATTACGTACACACAGGTAGACAAACAAAAAATATCAATCGTAAACCACTTTACATACACACAAGTCGAAATGTTTCACATCACTAGTTAGGTTTTATCACTTTGTCACATCACTATTTGGACTTCAGATAGGAAGAAGTCATTTGGTGATGTATTCGGAGTATAGACTTTAGTTTTTCTAAGTCGATGCTAACGTTTGGCGGTGGCATGCGCTTGCGCTGCCTCTGAACGACTGACTGCCGGTCGTTGGGGCTGCCAACATCTCGAGCAGAATTTCCTGCTACGCGTAGTCTGCGCGAGGCTTTTGCTTGGAAAACACTCGGGTGTAGCTAGTGACTCCAAACATTCTTGGATTTATAAAATGAAGTTCAGTTATATTAATTTGGATTTCATGAAAATATGTTAATTAATTTAGAGACATTTAATTTCAATACATGTTATGATTGACGTAGAGTGTACAATGTAGAGTCTTCTGCAGAAAAGATTTACTTTTTTTAAATTTTTCTTTATTGTTTTTATAGTCGTACGAATTAATAATCATCAAGTACAATATAACGGTTAGTACGTAATAAAATAAATATCAAAACAAATTTATTTTGTCTTATTTCACTGAATACAATTAAATAGTATTAAAACAGTGAGAATTAACCCAAAATCTTTTAAATACATTTATATCCCAGAAACTACCAAACTACTTTTAAACTGACTCTTGCAACACTACACAAGCCTCCATTGTATCTAAAGTGAGACAGAAGATATCCTCATCTCGCTCTTCCTGTCGGAATGTGACCCGCTATCACCTTGAAGGCCGCAAGCTTTGGACGACTCAATGAAAATAAGAGCTTTTTAAATACTCCACGAATTAAAAACTTAAACTAATTAACAAAGACTTGCGAAGAAGAAAAATCTGCATTTTTTACTAATATTCTTTATATGGTTATAGTTTGCTTATACTAAGCGTCGTATATATTAATTTAGTTTCTGGTCATGCCGGATTCCCTAAGCCTATTACTGGTTCGTATAAACGCTCGTAGCTAAGTACCGCGTACCTAGCATACAGTTATTAGATAGATTACAGTTTGATATCCGACTTCGGACTCGAGTTATGCAAATAATTGCTTAAGATTGGACGTTATTTAAGAATAACTTTACGAGTAGGCATCCAATTACGATTAAGAGGGGCCAAAGTTCGCTGAATTGCTCCTTGAATAGTATTTTATTTTATGTAGATGTCTAATCGGTTTTTATTCCTTAATGAGAGGTAGTTACGTAAAGCTAAACTTAAGAAGCTGGGAACTACGGAAAAGTACTAAAATTAAGCTGTTTTAACAAGACAACTAGCGGCTCACCGGACTTACCTCAGTTTTCTTAAACACGGTCGTATGTCTCAATGTTCCCGGGGAATATAAAATTATTATCCTTAAAAACGGACATAATAAAGTTATAATGTAATTTACTGAACTTTTATGTAATTCTCAGATTAGAAGAAATTCTTCGTAGTGGAAGGGTATAGTTTCGAGTTGTAGCCGGTGGTATAGTAAATGCAAATCAACAACATAACTGGTCAGATGTGGTTGTTAATGAGAACATTATATGGGCACAAAGATTCTACTAAATTGTAAAGACCTGTAACTGGTGGTTGCCTTGTTGGCCGAGTGGCCACAAGTGCAAGGTCTCGCATTCAATACCTGGGTCGTGTAAAATATTAGGTTGTATCGCTTTCTGAACAAAAATTCTCAGTATAGGCACGCAGTCTGGAATTATTTTCGGTGTATGGTAACTCACACCCTATTAGGTACCTGCCTACATTACACTACCTACATAACAATACGAGTGAAAAGTTAGTGTTACAATGCCTATCTCTTCAGAAATGCAAGCCTTATGGGATTCAAATCATTAGTTATAAGGTACCTTAACCGGAGGTTGTGTTTATGGCAAACCAATTGATGAAACCAAAAGAAGGGTAGTGTTATACATAAAACTGAATTTGGTTTCAAATACCTACTTGTTTCTAGATTAGATATTAATTGACGCGACTTTCGTTCAGTGAACCACGAAATATAATCGATATTCCCACAAATTATCTTATCTCTGCTACTGCTAGAAATATATGTTGCTTGTTGCAATATAATATTTTTGTGATAATAAACAATTTTACAATATAAAGCCACTTCCTCAATTAAATATAAGTACAATGGGCACGAGCCAGGAAATTATAAAAAGGTTTCTGAGTAATTTTTGCTAACCACAAAATATAGCGGATGACTGCGTTTCATCTTGCAATGCCAGTGGGTTTAATGCACTGTAAGTTTAAAGGTATGAAGTAAGAACTGTGGATTTTTTATTTTTTCTTCTTAGAACCTATTCGCGAGAACTCTTAACATTTTACCTACTTAGGTCATTAGACCTATCTAGTTTGCGGAATATATTTTCCAGTACTGCAGTGAATAGCTTTGGTGACATAGGATCGCCTTGCCTTACTCCTCTTCTCACTTCAAATTTCGGCCCTGTCTCTTCTAGCTGTATTCTTGCTTTGGTGTTTGTATATATAGTCTTGATAAACTTTATATACACCTCAGGTATGCCTTGGTTGGTTAGGCTTTCCCATATCGATTCATGACTTATGCTGTCAAATGCCTTGTTATGCCTGTATTAACAGGCGAATGTAATTAAGTTTTACTTACACTTACACGTTGTCATCGAGTATTTGTATAATCTTGGAAATATCCACTGATTTTTCAAGATTTTTTTACTTTGTGTAATATCTTGTAGTGCCTGCAATATAAAACTGAGCAATCAATAACTTGTTCGTTATTTGTAATATATACGACCGCTAACTTAAATTATAATGTATGTAGTTTTAAATTATACTTACCTGATTTGAAAGATAAACTATTTTCGTAAATTAATATATCTCGTGATCCCATCCCCGTTTCGACGAGGCATTACTGTAAAGTTTCGCGTTCGCGCCATTCCAATACGAACTTTTATTTCCTATTAAAAGTAGATCGGAACGGTTTTTTGTGTCAAATACATTGTTAATTATTTGTAACACAAAATGGAAATAATCGATAAACTACTTACATTTTTATAATTTCATTACCAAATCAATGAATTTAATCAATTAGGTTATTATTCCTAAAGTTAAAAATTAAAAATGTTTATAATTTTCAAAACAAAACTGCTTGAATTGGAACACACCACGTTGCTAAGCAACTGTCAGTTTGACAACCGTTTGTTTATATCCGTGGCGTTGACAGTAAAGCAACTAACGTTTATTTTAAAATCGCGTGAATGCAGGCAATGAAAATTAATTTACAAGGAAGTAAATTGAATTGAGCGTAATCTGTCTGACCTCACATGTTCCAATTACGGGTCGTTTTAGCACCCACGCCAGCGAATGTAACCGCGAATGTAATTGAGTTGGATCATTACGAAGGAGGTCTGAATCGTGTGCAGTCAACCACAGAGGTTGGTATGTATTGATCTCGCAAAGTGACTCATTTACTTCTGTTTCGGAAATAATTCCTTATTCGGTCGTTACCTTGTGTTTGTGCTATAATTTCGCATCTTAAGACAGTTCCTGCAAGTTTCTGTGTTTTGTTGTGATTAAATGCTAGTGTAATGTTTTTTTTTATCTGTATTAGCTAAAAAGCCTATAGATATTTTAAAATAAAATAATTATTGGTCCGTAGTTTAGAAACTTTTTTAATTATCATATAAAAGAATCTGTAGGTAGAATTTACAAAAACTTTACATGTGAGGTAACTGCAAGTATTCTTAATTTAACAGTGGTAGTGAGTTCATGGTTTATTTAGTCACTGTATCTACTGAGTCATGTTATAGTCTCAGTAATCTTTGATATAACAGTTTAATGTTTAAAAAGGTGTGCTCTCTGAATTTTGTTTGACAAATGAAAGTTTTTCTGTTGTGTGTGTCGAAAAACAGAAAGTTTTGTGACTATGTTACAATTTTTAATTAATTATTGTGTGGAGATAATCTTACAAAATATGAAACATAGTTAAAACAAGAACTATTTGAAAAACATAAGTCTCATTTTGAACACTAAGAACAAGAATTTTTTTATCTATCAATTTCCCTAAAATTTTATAAAAAAATATTTTCAGATAAATAATACAAAACAATGTCTCGTCCCCGGCCCCAATGGCAGCTTCAAGCTTTAGCTGCGCAAAGACGTGACAATGAGCTAAAGCGAGCGGAAGAGTTGAAGAAGGTGGCTACATACTTTGAGACTAATACCAATAAGTCTCGACATCATGAACAATGGACTACTGAAGGGTATTATGAGAAGGCTAATAAGGAGGCTGAACTACTTAGCCAGAGAAAGATTAGAGCTGCGTAAGTATGATTGGTTTTATACTCTGGAAAAGAAAAGCTTTTTACGAACAAGCTTTTATTATTGGCATTTATTGGGTATGAAAAACTCGAAAAAATACTTAAATTATACTATTTAGAGTGTTTAACCATCAAAAATTTCAAAAATATTTTTACTGAACTGAGATTTAATCTCTGCCTTGGTAGTTACTACGATAGCCCTTTAAATAGCAAGGTAATAACTAAAATAAATACAATTAGCCTTGATTGTATACCTAATAATTTGTAGTACTTATTATAAAAACAATGTTCGCACAAACTTTAAGAGTTTATTGAACTTTGTCTTGACAAAAAAATGGCTGTGCCTAAAATCATCGCCAAAATAAAGGTGCTAGCAAAAAACGAACTTTAAATTATTAACACTTTTTGCATGTAAAGGATATTGTTATTACACTAGGAAATAAACAGAATTCTACAAATGATTGTTCACAAAGGAATGTATTTAAACTTTTTGTTTGTACTTTTTAGACAACTCGAGGAGCGGCGTAAAAAACTGGAACTAATGTTGTTTCAAGAAAACATGCAGTTGCAACAGGAACTAAAGAATTTAGCTGCTCAACCAAAGTATTTTAAGAATGGGTGAGAATGTTTTCCTTGCCACTTTATTTAATCTTCTATCAGTCATGAAATCTGTTTTTATTTATTTCTTTTGATTCGATTCTATAACATAAAAATAATGACGTATTTTTATTTTTCTATATGTTTAACATTTATAAAGAAAAACACGAAAATAGGTAGTGTCGCCCGTGGGCAACAAACAGTAATCATTAAAAGAAATGCAAAACAAACTATTGTCAACGATAACGATATACGATACAAACACTTCTTACCCTAATCATGTAAGAATGACTTATAGAAATCACAGACTCAGAGCACTTTTCACAAATACCGTCAATTGAACCGTTTTCTCTTTTTTCTCTCTTTACTGATCCATGATTTAGTTGATTACGCCCTTGATTTAACAAATCATTAGTTTTGGGGATTTCGTTTTTAACCCTACCATACTACTCAAGAAAACTATTTACCATTTTACAGTTTTCTACAAATACTAGCTTTTGTAATTTGTTTAGCCTTTTTTTTTAAACTGTCAAACACCAAGCGGTTACCGGTGACCGCAACCTATTGTTCTATAATAAAATTGTGTCTATACTTAATGACGGTACTCGACGAGTTAAGGGGGGAAAATCATCGAATGACTGCTCGCGCCTGGGTGAGGCGGAAGGGAGTGTCAGACTCTTATTGACTAAAAACCACCCCGTTCCTTCTCCTGCACGTCGAGCCCGAGCCCCGGTTACCCGTTAGGTTCTCCGCGACTAATTTGTTTAGCCTAGGTACCCTATATAGAATAGTAAATCCTTTAATCTTTTTTGAGTGCCAATGTCACATATGAAAAGACAAGACTGACAAGCGAAAACTGTTTCTGGACCTGTAGCCAAACGCCACTTTAGCGCTTGTCTACAGAGAGAATATAAATCAAAATGTATGGGGATGACGCTGACAAGTGTCAAAATTTACGTCAATACCATATAATTTGGTTTTCTATTCTACATGTAGACAAGCGCTAAATGGCATTTGGCTACAGCTGCTAGACGCCAACGACACAAATATATGACAGAAAAAGCGGAACCGGAAACACGATATTAAAAATTTGATTTTTATATGTTGTAGTAATGTTGTATGTAATGATACCTATTTCTTTCGTAGAAATTTGCACGACACTTGTGGCTTGGCATTGAGGGTAGGTTCATGTGTTTTTGCTCTGACGTTAAAAAGATTAATATAAAGTTGAAGAGTTTGTTTGTTTGATTGAACGCGCTAATCTCACAAACTACTAGTTCGATTTGAATTATTATTTTTGTGTTGTATAGTGCAGTTATTGAGGATGACAATAGGGTATATAACATCATGCTATGGCTAATAGTAGTCGAGCAGAGCGGCTGACCCTGCTCTAGAGTCGCTAGTCGTATATAAAATTAAATTAATAAAATAAATTAACTCTTTTTATTTTATTTATTTAACTTTTATTAGCATAAGGAAGACTTAATGCTAACAGCAACTGTTTTTCAGTTCTTACCTAAACAAAGTGCCAACAAAAACCCTACAAGATATCAACCAGGGTATCATGGCTAAGGAAGAACAGCTGCTTCGTCATGAGGCAGAGCTTCGACTGCACCATGCTTGGAGGATGCGGCAACCTGAACTGAGGGCTGCTACTAGTTATGTCAATAATGGAAAGCTCAAGTCTGCCTGGTAAGAATAAATACATATTCCAACCAAAAATATTTTGTAAAAAACTAGCCAAGCCTCGATGGACCCGCTTGTTTTCATCTAAAAAGTAATTAAATATAGACAAAGTTGTGTCAAGGCTATTGTTCCTTACTGCGATTTTTTTATTATTATACTAGCCGCCCCGGCTTCGCACGGGTGCAATATGCAAGTATTATACACATAAACCTTTTTTTTTATTTTATTTTATTTATTTAGAAAACCAACAGCGATACATATGATATAATACAAAATAAAGATATTACAGTTTAGTAAGGCTAACAATAGGTTTGTATTTACCATGCGAACGGACTTTAAACAATATTTAAAAATAAAGTGTTAATATAGAATTGAACCTTCCTTAAGAATCATTCTATATATTAAAAAAAATCCGCATCAACATCCGTTGCGTAGTTTTAAAGATCTAAGTATACCTACATAGGGACAGACAGGCGGCGGATAGCGACTTTGTTCTATACTATGTAGTGATATAATATTATAGTTAATGTTGTGTCCTTTGGTCCTTGAACCGCTACCCATTGAAAATGGAAAATTGCCACTAAGAAAAAGTTGATTGAATAATTTGAAATTCTGGCGATAGATTGGTGCAATGATGTCTTGCACCCTTGTGTACCCTTCAACGGCCAAGTCACACAACATTAATCAACTATAATAATAAAGAAATCGCAGTAAGAGACCTTAGCCTTGGCACGACTTTTTCTAGATTTCATTACCTACTTGCGACGAAATAGTTCCAGTAATGAATGGTACGGCAGTGTTTGCTTCGTGCTCGACTTGGCGGGATATGAAGATATGAAATATTGATCAAAGAATCATAGACAATGGGTTTCTATATTGATATTGGTCATAATTATGCAATTTCAGTAAGCAAAGTGCAAGGCAGTATTTACAATACGAGAATGAGATACTAACTGCGGGTCTAAAAACAGTTTCTTTGTGTTTAAAATACTGGCCAGATTATTATTCGAATTTAGGATCATGAGCGCCATAATACTTGCAACTACTGAAGCCAAAAGGCAATCTTGTAGGACTGTAAATCGAAGCTTTTTTGCACTAAAAATAATAATTGTACTGTTTCGGATATCTTCCAGGATGGAGCAGATAGTGGAAAAAGAAGTACAGAAGCAGAAGGAAGAAGAAGAGACGCGTAAAGTGTTGAAGGAGAGAGATGAGATGTTGCGCAAACAGATACAGTTGGAGGAGCAGAAGTTGAAGGAGAAGGAACTACAAGTTAGGGTAAGTCACTAGACGTTTTGGGCAGTACGTATTACTTTATTCCGTATAGTGTATAGGTACTACATTCATAGTAATTTTCTACCAAACCTATCTATGAACACGGTTCATTTTTATTTATTTTATTTTAATTTTATTTTTTTTTTAAATGCACTTACTGGCTTACAATACAAATAAATAATGTCAAATTAATAAATGTCAAATATTTGTAGTACATGTCCAAATACATAAAATCTAGGATATTGTATATTACCACTAAATCTACAAATAAAAAGAATCAATATGTCAATATCGCTACAACAGAAATAACTGCTCCTATGTAGATTTGCACCTATGTAGATATTTCTGTTTATTATTTCAGGAGTTACGTGAAAGTTTAGAAGGACAAATTGCAGAATTAAGTGAAAAAGAAACAATAGTCAAACGTCTTCGCAAACAGGAAGAAAAAGAAAAACTTATATTGGACGAATTACTGTTCATATCGCGCGAAAGAGAAAGAGAACACACTCGCCTTGTGGCAGAAAGAGACGCCAGTATAGTGAACATGGGCCTACACAAATATAAGCTGAAGAGGAGAGTGATCTCTGTTATGAAAGAAATAGAGTTGGATTTAGAAATGCTGGATAAATTGCGCAGGGCTGTTCAAAAGGTATGGTTTTCAAGTTGAAATATTTTGCTTTGGATGTTAAGTAGCAAGTGGGTTGCTGAGAAAGGGTTAGGCAAGATTACAATTCGGACATAATATAGTACTTAAACTCTAACACAGAGTCTGGAATTGCACCAACTGTGGGAGAGCCATGCTTCGGCACGAATGGGCCGGCTCGACCGGAGTGATACCACGGCCTCATAGAAAACCGACGTGAAGCAACGCTTGCGTTGTGTTTCGTCGTGTGATTGAGGTTACCGGATGCCCAATTAGCCCCCTCCCCTTCTCCTATCTCCCCAAACCCTGAATCTTCAACGATCCTCAAACTCCTCATTCTCAAAACGCCGGTACCGCACTTGTTATGCCTCTGGTGTTCCAGGTGTCCATGGGTGACGCCGATTGCTTACTATCAGGTGATCCGTCTGCTCGTTTACCGGCTTATGCCATAACAAAACCCTGCATAGACTTACCACACGGGGCCTAACGCAAAATTGGGTGTTACCATTGTATTTGTTGTATATCCTGATGATAAAAATCCTGAGTTCACTATAATGACACTTTTATTTCCAGGATTATGATGCAGAAAAAGACACTTGTTCAAATTACAAACGGGTGTTAGACGCAGCTCTATCCGAGCTGGTGGAACATAGAGAGCGTGAGCTGCAGCGGCAAAAGACCATCGAGGCCATGTACGATGGAGAGGCTAGGATGATCAATGAGAAACAAGATAAGGTATTATTTGAAGTCACTTGTAAGAACCGACAGGCAGACACATTTAAAACGTAGTATTAATAAATCTAAACAAATTTATCTCCATTTAAGTATTAATAAATATATATAATTTATTTATTGGTATACACAAGTTACAAAGTAAGGGCAAAATACTACTGGGTTTTAAAAAAAAGCTCAGTGGTAGCACGTAGTCTGGAATTGTGCCCGGTATGTGGCAATAGGCTCACCCCCTATTACATGGGACTCATAATATAAATAGTGAAAAGTGGGTACATTGTACAGTGGCATTAAGTCCGTAATATGCCTCTCTGCCTGCCCCTTTGGGAGCAAAAGGCGTGATGTTATGTTATTAATTTTGGATACTTTATTGTTACCTTCTTACTGCTTTAACTTAATTTTTAATTACTGCAGCTATGGGCCAAAGAACGTGACGCTCGCGCCCTCCTAATGAGCGAGGTGGTGGCCACTTTGAAGAGACAAGTGGAAGAGAAAATAGAAGCTAACAGACAGAAGCAGAAGATGAACGTTCTAGAACGAGAGAAGATTTTAGAACAAATGGAACAATTCCACCAAGAGGTCAAGGCTAATGAAAGGGCGGCGCAAGTTAGTACTATTTTATTCCTAATATTACCTATTTATATTATCGTGTATACAATAGACTTTGGGAGGAGCAAGTAGCTTCACTAGGGCAGTAAATGACAGATATAAGTTCACTTTTATCGATAAATATTTTGTTTTCCGAAGTGCCTTATTGGTCTAAACGAAATGAATGATTTGACTTCGACTTAGAATCACAACCTGCTTTAACAATATCGTTTGGAATGGCCAAAATAAAGACCGGGCCTATATCACACAGCCGTCTTGCCGCGATTCGGTCACATACTAACAAGTAACCATTTTGTTCCAGTTGAAAGACTCAAAATACTCAACAGTGACCGCTCTTCAGTCACAACTGAACAGTCTCCGCTTACAACAACAGCAGTTAGAAGACACATGTGCCAGGGAGGCCGAGCTCAGAGAAGAGGCCTCTAATGAGAGAAAGATTAGGAGTGAAATCGCCAAGATACATAGAGAGGGCAGCACTCAAGCTTGGACATAGGTAGGCTAGAATTTACAGACTGTATAATTTTAACCTTATCGTTTTGTGATAAAGTTGATAATGTATAAAGACAGTTTGTGGTGGCTTCATGTTATGTTATCAGTATGAAGTAGTTTAAAGGTTATCATTATATCAGTCAGAAGTTCCACTGATGAATGAAACCCTTCAGCTTAAGCGAGGTTTTAAACATAATCCTCACGCTTGGCAACCGGCCTGGGGATAGCCTTAATAACTAAGTGTATTTTTCATCACCAGATCTCGCGTTCTTCGTTCAATAGGGAATTAGTCACACCATTGGTGTTTAATATTTGACAGCTGCAGTAATTGGACAAGAAACCTGTTGACTCATTTGCGGTGTACAGCGCAGTACCCGTTCGGCGCTCTAATTGGTTGGTTCATTGTAGTCGGCCAATCAGAGCGCCGAACGCGTACTCGTTTCAATTACTTTAAACGTAAAATACACTCGTACTAAGACCTCAGGTCGTCTTGATATGCTAGTTATTAACATTCTGGTGAATTAGCCCAGTACCGTCTAATTTACATTTTTATGGAAGACTAAGAATATCAAAGGTAAAAAATATTTTTGGTGTATATTTTTAAGTTCCAGTGTGTTGAACAAAAATGTGCGATCGTCTATTTATTAACCGTCAAGTGTACGGTCTGCGCACACGCTGTCTAGGGTGTTGTAAGGAATCATACAAATAAATAAACGTTTGAAACTGCGTGATAATGTGGCAATTTCCAGTTGTGTGTGTTGACTAAAGTGTATTCTGTACATCTGAGAGGTAGGCAAACTGTGTGGTCTGTCCATTGTATATTGTTATTGTCTATTTAACACAGCTTCTTGCCAAATTAAACTATACGAATAAAGCTAAAGACTGAAAAATAAAGATTATACTTACTATGATTGTTGAAATATGAATGTGAGGTAGTTGAAATGCATTTCTTAGTTTTGTAATCAATGTGTAATGTTCCATTCAAAGTAAGTTTATTTTATTTACAATGTGATGTGGTTTGCGTATGGTTATGATAGCATTATAAAGTGCCTTGTAAGTTGCAAATGCGCCGAGTCGCGTTTATATTTTGTAATAAATAACTTTTATTTATCAATTAGCTTTCTTGATGAACTTATCGCTAAGACGAAGTCATATTTACACGCCTGCATAAAAGAGTGCTATTATTTATGTGTGAAAGAGTGATGAAAATAAAAGAAAAATAAGATTTTGATATTTGTTTTTTTTTGACCCTGTATTGTGTTCGTGTAAGTTTTAGAAATACAAATTACAAAGACTAAAAAATTAAGCGTACTTTGCCCATAATATATGTATGTGCGACATCTAGTGAATTAGTGTGTAACAATGGTATACGTCACTTTATATAATACTTCAAAATTATGAATATAGATGGCGCTGTACTAATATGTTACATTGATTTTATCTAGATGTCGCTGTAATACAAGAATATAAAAATTCGCGTTTGTGAATTTTGCAATATATTGAAAATTCTTAATTATCATATTTTGGTGACGTATGTCGTTTTTAGTTTGTTTAAATATATTCAATTTGGTGCTTAATAGTTTAGTGAAGACGATAGATTGAATTACAAACTGCTTACTTACGAGTTTAGAAGCCCTAATAAGTACCTATTTTCTTAAGTTTTAACCGTCTACCGTCAAAGCAAAATAAAAATCAACAAAAAACTAAGATTCCTCGTCAATTGTATGTACATACAATTCATGTATACATTCAATATATACAAGTAGCGTTGATTCATATAATGAGACGTTATCCAAACCAGACGATTTGAATATCTTCTTACTTAACTTAACTTCTGCCAAGGCGGGTGCATCTGCCAACCGTGGAGACCATAACAAACCTCCGGGAGGCCTGTGTACCAGTGGATGTTTTCAAGCTGGTAATGATAAAAACTCCATTGAAAAAAACCGACTTCAAAAAATAAAAAAAACAAACGAAAAGTAAAATCTAAAAAGCAAAATATAACTATTATTGGTAATACGTACTTATAGCTTACACACCCCCTAATAGGAGAGAATTCAAATTATGGTTTGAAATAAATGCTTTGACTTTGACTATGAATACCCCCGGGTTTCGTCACTGCGAGAGCCACCTGGAGGACATGGTGGAGCATACGGTGTCGGTGTGCCCTGCATGGGCTGAATACCACAATGTCATCAGGGACGGGATGGGCGACGGCGACCTCTTGCGTCTGGCTCTGGTTCAGTTCATGGTGCGCAGCGAAATCCACCAGGAAGCTGTCTTCTCCTTCTGCAAAGCAGAGAGGGTAGCTAAGAAATAGGCGAAACGCGTGAGGGAACGATCCGATAGATCCGAAGAGTCTGATACTTCCTCCCGCCTCACCCACGGCAGGAAAAGTCATTGGATGATTTGCCCCTCTAAAAATGAACACGTTATTCATCAGCCGATCACCAAGGTGCTTTACCAACCGCTTAATCATTGACAAGTCATGATACTTACCTAATTATTCCAACACAAGTTTAAAATACATAAATTATGTAATTTTATTTGTATATATTAATAAGGTGTTTGTATGTCCGTATACTTAAACGTGACTGTGACATATCCATTGAGAAATTATCCATAATGCAACATGCAATCCTCGTATTCTAAAAACTGATTGTTTTTGTAGCAACTGTATGTGAGAATTATTGATATATCAATACCGTGTTTGTTAACCTTAATACTTACTTAGATTTCTGTGTCATTGTTCTACAATCAAGGCACTGCGTGTACCTCTGCCTTCCCCTTAGGATATATAAAGGCGTGATGATATTATTATAATCTGTAAGTAAACTAATCGTAATTTTCCTATAAATATGGTACATTTTAGTGGATACGTAGTTTTTAAAATTTGGCTGTCGGTTTTCATAAGGTACCTAAATGTCTAATATTGTCTTATCTAATAAGTAAGTATACTTAACTATAAAAATATTTATTAAAACTTCTTCTTAGAGGAACTTCAGTTTGTTAACACCATCATAGTGTATAGCCGGGATGGCGAACCATTGGCACGCGTGCCACTGACGGCACCCAACTTAATATATTGGGCACGTCATTGATCACAAAATCTGTCCTATGTCGTTATTTGTTTTCAGATATGAATAGGTTTGATGTTACTTTTGATGATTAAGTTACAGAAATGACTTAAGTTCAGAATTTTCTGCTTAACAAACTACTAAAAATAATTAATTATTATTTTGACGGCACACGTAGGACCCTAAGAAATATTTCTTCGGAAAAATTGCACTTTGATACGTAAAGGTTCGCCATCTCTGGTGTATAGTATAATATTATCAGCCACAAGATGTTCATTGCTGAACTTAAACCATCCAGTGACGTAAACGAATTAAATATTGAAAGAATTTCATTGTTTACAATAATATGCCACGTGATAAGTTGGTGTTGATAGACCAGTATAGAATTTTTATAGACTTCCTTCTTCCCACCGGTGCCATATTTAAGAGTCGACTAAAGTTCATATCACTCTTAACCAGCACTGCTCCAACCAGAGATCAAGGGGCCAGAAATTTAACAGAGACCGGGCAGCGCTTTGTAATAAATCTAAACCTCACGTAATTATTCGACGTGGAACTCGACTAGTTTCAAGACACGCTAGAGGACTATTCATGAGCAGCATTCCGCGACCCGCGACGCGGTGACTGCCGCGCTGGTTCTCCATACCCCGTAACTCGTAGCCTAGTTACTCGTCAAATAATTACGTGAGTAAGCCGAAAAACATAATAATTAATTTAGTATGTCTCACGTAAGTTATAAAATAAATTCTGAACCTTTAAAATTGCGTTCTCCATCCCATCCACCAAGCGGGATCATTATGATAAAATCTGAGAAGCAGAAGAAACCAGCAGATTAATTTGACCTGTAGATGGCGATGATGTTGATTTTTTTTAAGAGGCGAAAATCATCTAATGACTGCTCCCGCCTGGCTGAGGCGGGAGGGAGTGACTCTTACTGACTAAAAACCACCCCGTTACTTCTTCTGCACGTCGAGCCTCGGTTACCCGTTCCCAAGGACTAGTAGAACATTTGGACATGTTGATGTTTAGAATATCCAAAAGTTCTACTAGTCCTTGGGTAGTTTAGTAGTAGGATTCTTGGGTAGTTCAATAGCAGGTTCGATAATTCAAGTAATTACTAACATTAAGTTTTTGATAAAATATATGTATTAAAAAAACATTTAAAATATTAATCTAGTGAGTCTTTCAAGGGGGAAAATCATCAAATGATTTCTTCCTCCCGGGTGGCGCGAGAGGGAGTGTCAGACTCTTACTGACTAAAAACCACCCCGTTTCTACTCCTGCACTTCGAACCGGAGCCCCGGCAACCCGTTAAGCTCTCCACGACCTCAGCTAGTGTGGTCTACCTGCAGCTTACAGAGTATCTAGTTGATATAAAATGATCTAGTATTATTATTTTTAACAATTTGATTTATTTATTTATCTACTATTTAAGTTCACTACTTACTAGATATCATTACTGAGTAAATATAATAATAAAAAATAGTATAAGGATATAGGTAATTTTCGAGGAATTTTGGAATGTTTCCGTCATATGACGTTAAGTTCTCATGCTAGTATTATTAACCTTCATAAATTAATAATAATAACAGAGACCAGAAGACGACCAAGGCTGAACGGACGGCCCTTACTCCTCGACGCCCAACGACAACTCGCCACTTGTATACAATTATACCTCGAGTCTTTGAAGATATCATTACTCTATTAGTGAAAAACCTTCCAACGCTACTAAAAATCCTGTGTCCGCTTGGGCATGTATGGATTGAATAACATTAGGTACTGGCGAAATTAATAGAAACATTAAGATTACGGTTCAATCGATGTCAAAAATACTAAAATAATTAATTATTGCTGTTAGCCCAAGGACTGGGTGCTTACTCTTGAATCCAATTCCGATCGATCGACATTGACATTGTGAAATTTCGTACTCTTGAGTTATAACACTAGCGCCGTTTGCATCCGTATTGCGTGGATATTTCATGAACTAAATGGTATTAAGTTTGGTTTTATATTCCGTACTCTAAATGCTACTTTAGCAGTTACGATAGGGGTTGTATAGTTTCGACATTGGATAATTATTGAGATTTTATTGGATTGAAATTGCATTGACATTGAGATTGGTTTCAAGAGTAAGCACCCTGATCACGACTCTCAGGTCGTGTATAACTATTAGAATTAACGAAGTAAGTACATCAACTTAAACATGAATTAAAAAAAAAACAAAATATTTTGTTTTAAAAATCCAAAAATAGTACTGCTACGCGCTACGTGCTACGGCGTAGTAATTTCGTAACGGGAATCCAATTGTATGTAGCAAAATGTATGATATTGTCTACGATGTACGAACGACCAATTATTCGTACATACATACATAACACTTGTCTCCTCTTGCTTCCTCAACGGTCTTTTCATGCATGCTCGTCGGTTAAAGATACCGATAATATTCGCCTTCTCTTAAAACCATCTATACATATTATCAGGACTTTTTTAAAAAGCTTTGTTTAGACCTGTAGAGCCAGCCAGCCCATGAAAATTTTTGACATAAGTCAGATTTTTTCATAAGTCTTGAGATATCTAGGTACTACGTTGATATGTTATATACATTGTAGCTCAAACCGAGTCCTTTGTCGCAAATCAGGGTCAAGTTTAGATTTTTGGCTAACGGATTTTAGGAAATATTTCCGGCTACATCTTTTTTTTAAATAATACATAACTCTTTGTACAAATTATTATTGGCTGACTCTTTGTACAAATTAGAAATGCATCATTTTTTACCATACTCGTTTAAAAATATTTATTGTAGGTAGTTGTATTAACTCGTCGAGTACCGGTTTTGTAGACACAATTATAGAACAATAGGTTGCGGTCACCGGTGACCGCTAGGTGTTTGACAGTTTAAAGCACACATACTTCGATATTCTTTAGTTGATTAATAGTTGTAGGTACCTACATTTTCTTAGGATCATCAATCAATACATAGTATAAAACAAAGTCGCTTTCGCTGTATGTCCGTATGTATGCTTAGATCTTTAAAACTACGCAACGGATTTTGATGCGGTTTTTTTTAATAGATAGAGTGATTCTTAAGGAAGGTTTGTATGTATATACATATTGCACCCGTGCGAAGCCGGGGCGGGTCGCTAGTAATAAATAACCAGGTCATTATGAAGCTGTATCAATATACCTCGCAACCATAGCCTCTACTACAAAGTAGAACCCTTTCATGTTACTGAAGCAGTACTCTAGTTAAACAACAGTAAGCTTCTCGTACGTGAATTAATTCGGTGGTAGCACATTAATTTAACATCAGCTCGAAGTATCGACGCCTACCTATAACATCGCGAACCAACATCACTAAACAAAAATAAAGAAAACGGACGGACACGTCTAGAGGCGGGCAGTTTACATAAACATAGAGATCACGCCCCCAGTCAAAACATTCAACAGAGAACGCATAAAAATATAAAAATAACTAAAATAAGACACCGGTCCGGCTAGAGAAGTAACCGAAAAATCCTGTCTGTATAATTACGTGGAGCTACCACTCGATCTACCGGCGAGCCAATTTAAATTTACTGCGAACGGCGCACGTGTCCTACAAAATGAAATCCCACTACCGCAGAGAAACACGCACGAAAAAAAATTGTAGAAAAATATACCGCAGGCGCCACCCCCTGTACGTTAGTGGCTGCTTACTTCAACCACGCCTGTTTCTAAGCGCTACTATGGCGTTCTCTTTCACGCTCGGTGGGTAGGCGTATTGTTGTCTCGGTTGTGTATGCGCGGCCGCCGGAAAACGCCAGCTTTTTCGTCAGTACGCGTTTGTGCGTCGCGCGTGTTGGGTGTGTTGTACCGCCGCCGCGGTGTGTTGTGCAGTGCCGTGTACAGGGTGCCGAAGTGGCGGGTTTCCTTGCCGCAGGACGGGGGGCCCATGCCCCCTTTCATCAGCACCACATTGGTAAAAGTTAGTGTCCCGTGTCTTAGTTAGACTGTTACGTGGAGTGCGAGTATGCCGTATGGAGGTTGTCATCATGTCATATTTTTTTATTTATTATTATATTTATGTAAATCCATAGGAACAGTGGTGTTTGTATTTGTGATGTATTCAGTATTTTCCTTATTTTGGTTTGGTTTTTTTATTTAATTTTTCTTTATTGTTTTGTTAAAACTTCTTGTGTTCAAAAATAATCTAACACTTGTTATCATCTGTGGTTGTGTCACTGACATTAATTGCTTCAATCATAACTTAGTCCTAAACATTACTTTAAAAAAGCCGCTTCACATTCTTCTTATTTATAAAACTCTACATTAATCTAAATATTGGTCCATTATCCCTAACCTTTAGACATAGACACAATAAAAGACATTGGTTTATGTGGCAGTACTAACTGCTAATCATTTCCTAGTCGGCTCTTATGTTAGGCCTAGGTAGTACAAGATAGGCCTACGCCTGCCTCTCAAGTTTTCGCACAGATTCTTCAAGCAATTTGCTATACAACTACTACTTACTAAAAAGTACAACTTACTTTTTTATCCATGTCACCGGATTGAATTTTTGCTGTTTGTAACATTGAACAAGTTTTTGTAACATTTTTTGCGTCACTTGTTTTCAATTCACAATCAAGTTCTGGGATTAATTTCTTATGTTAATCCGATATTTAATACAAATATTAAGACTACTACTACTGAGATAAGATAAGAAAAGAAATGATAAATATAAAACTATATTGGATTACTTAAATGACATACAAATATTAGCTTGTTGTAACATACAATCCACAGAAAATGTTTTAAGATAGCTATCGCTTCAATAGTACATTATATTCCTTTAAATGGAGTTAGGTAGATAAATGGTCAAAAAATCAATGAGATCATGTATGAAGCCGCAAAATGTTTTTGGAGATCTAAGAATATCTAAAATTCATAATACAAAAAACTGGAATGCTTACATATTAGACACACCACTTATAAGTCTTACAATAACGTCAGTTATAATCTAAAATCAAGAATATACTAAGACAGATAAGAACAAAAATAATTTGAGACGAATTCCCAAAGAATATGACATTCAAGAAGAAAAAGAGAAGAAATCCCTATCTTCAATTGCCCAAACGGACTTGCACAACTACGAGACGTTTGTCAGCAGTTTATAACTATGCACCTGGTTGGAACAAAGCAAACATTAAGAAATAAAGACAACACATTCAAAAATGATAATAAACAAAAAACAATGCAACGCAAGACAATAATCTGCTGCACCAAAAGAAAAAATCAAAAATATGTAAAAAATAGATTAAAATGTAACAGTTAGCATTATCTAAATTTAATACTTTTGACAAAAAAAAAATGACACGAGTCTTCAAATAACAATAAAAAGGGTGTTTTAAATAACCATTATACGTTCCCCAATGAAAGGCCAGAAACAGGTAAACCACAAGAAACCTTAGATAAGCTACTTAAAATACTTAAAAACATTGCGAACTTTTGTCCTTTCCCATAACAGGGGACGGAATAATAGGAAATTAGAAATAAAGTCTCCAAACTTCCTTTTGAAAACCTTTTTTTGGATCACCCGTGAGATCTGCGGAAAATTCTAGGAATTTTGTTAAATATTAGTTTTTTTTAGACGGATCTTATGACAAGTTGATTACGAAAGCAACATTCAGACTTGTAGTACACAAGTTTGAATGTTGTCAAAATTGTTGCGTTTGGTCTTAATTTTTTGAGGTAGATGACATTTAAAGATTGATTTTGTGCACTTCTAGTTTCGCTGCATATAGAACACTTCATTTTAAGTAGGAGGAATAATGTAAAAAAGGTTTTAAAAGATAAAAACATAATTTAAGTAAAGTTATATAGAAGTTTTTCAAATGTTACGACCTTAAACCCTCTAATAGTCTACCGTTACTATGAAGTAAAGGGTGGCCTGTCAGTAGTGGACGATAATGATGATGTCGAATACATTATGTATCTACTAAGAGCCTAAATTAGTATTTTAATTCCTTCAGAATTTTCTAGCAAAAAACCCCTAGTTCCAAGGTTATGTCGAGCAACGCCGCGCCGCATGCAGTGACAAACCATAAAAATAAGTAATATAATCTTAATACTAAGGCAATAATGTTCAATATTATATGCGGCGTATCCGTGAACTTTGGCAATTTGAAATATAAACAAGGTGTGACTTGTTACTACAGTTGTAATACTGTACGACTAAGTTGCTAATATGCGGACAACATAGTAAATAGTAAACATAAAACTCAGGATATAATTAGACGTCCCTAAGTTTATAACAAAAAATATCAATTTTTAAACAACTTTTTTAATGAACATCCAAATAATAATACAGATTAAAACAGTACAGTTACTTTAGACGATAATGATATAGGTAATTCGGAAGAATATCGTACAATTTTAAAGAAGCAAATTTTTACATAATTGTAGTATAAGAGTTCAAAATTTTACAAACAATCCGTATTAGCCTAGTTTCGCTACAAATCAAAAAATAAAGACGAAAGTGGTTTCAAAAGTCAAGAATTTGTTGTAATCGGCTTAAATATTATTATTATGGCACTTTCGGATTATTTTTAATCTTCCGCGTGAAGTTAAAACTTGGTATCCGTGTCAAAATTGGTGTGTAAACCACTTTTTAAATATGATTTTGACTTATACTAGGAAGTCTTACTTTTTTTCTTCCTTATCTTGCTGTCTATCAATCCTATACATACCTCTCCTAACTTTTTCTAAATTGCCTTTTGTTTATTCTGTTTTGCCAAAAACATTAGCCTTAGTTTATTTCTACAACATATTATCGGTGAGCCAAGAAATATTTCTTCCGTTTGTCGACTAAAAATCCTTGCATTTAAATATTGATTTCATTTCGAAAATACTTTTTGGCTGCTATTCTATTAAAAAAAACCTATATATACTATTTAAGTATAGCATTTTTTTAATAATTCTTTATTAGATAAACATTTCGGAAGTAACTGTTTATCAACACTTTTTCTACTCTATTTTATTTAAAGCTTTTCCTTAAATTACCGTCCGAGCTAAAATATCGTTGGTTCTAGTTTGAAGAAATTATATTTTGCGATGACTTAACCCTTACTTTGTCCTGATTCATCAACTTAGTTTAGTTATTGTGTACTTAGTTCGTGGTTAACGAATACGTTTATGTTAACTATATTTATATTAATTTTATAAGTTACAATGTTTTCTGGTTTTGTTTATAGATTTCCTCTTGTCCTAAATTTATTGTGGTTGATAAAATTGTAGGTACCTATTTCTTGTTACAAGCTTTGATTTGATTGTGTTCTACTGTCATCATATTATTATCTCATTTTTCATTCTCTTCTCTTACTCTTTCCTTATTAAACTGTCAAACACCAAGCGGTCACCGGTGACCGCAACCTATTGTTCTATAATTGTGTCTATAATGACGGTACTCGACGAGTTAAGATGAATATGACATGAAAATACCTTTTTCTTTGAGCAGTCTTCTTCCTTTTAACTTCTATTTGTCAATCTGCACTGCCTGCACGGTTGGTGCGGTGGCTGGGCAACCGACTGCCGTGCAACGTGTCGCGGGTTCGATTCCCGCACGGAACAACACTTTGTGTGATCCACAAATTGTTGTTTCGGGTCTGGGTGTCATTGTGTATGTGAACTTGTATGTTTGTAAACGCACCCACGACACAGGAGAAAATCCTAGTGTGGGGCAACGTTTAAAAAAAAATAAAAAAAATAAACAACTTCTTTGCTAAAAGTATTCCTTAAATACTTGTCATTGAATTACCATCGTAACTTCTGCGGTTAAAATGGTACATATAGGTAGATTGAGTTTAATAAAATTAAAGATTTGAATATAAAACCACAGTATGCCTAATCATTTTCCGAAAGAGGTTAAATAATTTAAAAAAAAACTAATATACTTACTGAGTTTTCGCAACCTGGTGTAGAATGGCCCTACCGCTTACAAAGTATGCCGTGTTACAAGACTAGGTAGTACATTTACCGAAGCCGACGGTAATGATAATTGCTACCAGAAATATTAGCACTTGTTCTTTGAAAAACCGATACCCTTTTAGTGGCCATTACTTCAAAGCACAGATAATATTTTTGCACAGCCTTTTGACTGAAAAAACCGACTACCTTACTGTCTATGGTTACATTGTTTTTTATTATCTACAATTTTAGACCTTAGACACCTGTACTTGTGGCAAGTTAATAAGTAAGGTTTTACTCATTAGTCAGCCCGGATCCTTGGTACATGTAAATTGGTTCAGCGGTTTCTGAGTAATTGGATGACAGACAGACATTTAAGCGTTAAAATGTTGTGTTTAATGGATTTACACTTTGTTTTAGTAAGTTGATAAGTTTTTTGTTGTAACCACAAGATTGTGCGGTTTTTTAATGCATGTTTAAATATTCGTATAAACATTGCTTTAGAAGATAACATGGGTTTTGTGGTAAAAATGCAGCTGCAATTCTGACTGCATTTAATTGTTTATAATCGATGTCGGCTTTTTGCTTTTCGATTGTTTTAGGCATGATTATTTTATTATTTTGGAGATTGATGCTAAGTCCGAAAGCACTATTGCCTATTCTATATTCCGTGATTGCCTATGAGTCCATAGTCCAGTAATTTGGAGTAGTAAATAAGAAGTAAGCCCGATTCTAGAGTATCGTTTAGATAATTTATATTAAACTTAACAAAGTTTGACGTAACTAATAAAACATAATGGACACAATTTTGTGCCCATTATTTTGAAAATAAGGACATTTTAGCGTTTTTATTATTCAAAGCAGCAATGAACTTGAGCTCTGTACTTGTTACCGAAGTATTTTCCATACAATGCAATAATTTACAATTAAATAGAATACTGTATCACTGTATGTAACCAGGATAATTCGGTAAATTTAATTTTGAATAATATTAATGTGGCAACAGAGGGTTAAATGCTATCTTTTTTATTCGTAGACGCTGATAATTTTATTAGGCGTTGAATATTAATAATTTTATTCCGCAGCAGCTAAGTTATAATTTTTTTTTCATGAAAATATAATCGAATTACCTAATTCAGTTTATCTTGCAAACTTTCATAATGCAAAACTTTATATTCCTTGTACAGCTTCATTCAAGTTCCTGATGCCATCAGATTTCTTTTGCCTGACTTGATTTCTTTTTTATCTACCTGTCATGGTCCGACTAGAAGAGTATATTGTATAGAAGTGTATACTAAGCTGCAATTAAGAATAGATACAGATTAACAACCTAAGATCAAAATAATCTGCTCACATCTGCAGCACTTAAACAATTTGTCTTAATCTTAAACCAGATCAGTAAGAGAGATAACACTGTCAAATTAATATTAATACCAAAATCCACAGACTAAACACCGTGACACCGGTCAAATTTAACCGAAGAATCACACGCACCGCCGAGTATCCATAACGACTATTATACCGTCACAAAATCTGAACGCGACCGAAATGGCGCGCGACCAATCGGACGTTCAGATTTGAATATGGAATGTAAAACCGCGGCGACCTTCATAAATTTAGCCAATAAATGTCACATGTGAAAAAAATGGTGGATATTCCTTTTTTGAACAGAAAAGGGCGCTCGCTACACTTGTCATTGTATATTTTATAAGGTGCAATAACAATGGTGATGTGTCAAAGTTGTGTATGAGGAATTGATGGAGAGAGCTTTTATTCATCGGCTTTATTTTAAATTACTTGGTGATGTAAACATTTCTTTACGGCCGTGCAAATAATAACTTGATAATTGTGAGTTTCCTTCAATCAACCGTAAGTTTAACGCTTCTCTTACTGTCAGTTGGAGAGCAAGCAGTATTTCTTCTCTAAAAATAGTTTAATAGTTCAAACGCCACCCATTTCCGAAGGTTTAGTTACAGCTCACAAATACACATAACCTTGTGTTATTTACAATCCAGACGTTTACGTACTACTTGCCGATCACGAGTTGCTAACCGATCGTAACTCGTGGCACTTAAACGGAAAATCTAATTGAAATTTATCTGCTTCTGGTACGAAATAAGTGGTTGGTACCTAGGCGAAGGTGTAACACCCAGCTCCGGTAATAACATATGCTAATAAAACTTTATTCAAGCTAAGCTTTATCGATCGTAAAACTCAATTCCATTATGTTGGTGCCTGCGGAGCTACCAACTTTATGATGAACGGAGTATTGAGTGTACATACGTGATTTACGTACTAGCTATATATTATGTACTCTTTACATGTTTTGAGAGTTAGTTGCCACATAAATTCTTGTTTCCAAAGGATTTCTTGTGTTCTGAACGCGTTTAATTCTGTTTTGTGATGTGTGAAAGGAAATGGGTGTTTAAATGGATCATGTGTCTGTCTACCGAGGTCCATGGATTGCAAGCAGTCTGTTATTACGTTTTGTATAGTGTTGGACTTAGTATTTGTTAGATACGGATGATAAGTTTCATATATTTAGGTAAAACAGTCTATGTAATATTTTGATTTACTAACATCTACCTAATCTTATTATTTACTCCCTATCCCCTGTATATATACATTTTTCTACAACTTTTATGATCGTAGATATAATTAATGAATATTGCGAAATGTATTAAATATGTCTCCTATTTATAAAGAAACCAACCGAAAGAACTGAAGCATCAAATCAAACAAGTACAACATTAAATGTAGATTCTTTATTAAGGACTGATCTTAGTAACCGTTCTCATTCCAAATCTCTGCATCGAACTGTTTTTTTACAACAGTTATATGTAACATCTCGCCTTTTATCCCCGAAGGGGTAGGCAGAGGTGCTCATTACCGCACTTAATGCCAATGTATATTGCAACACCAAATTTTCAATATTTATGTTATGAGTACCATGTAATACGGCGTGAGCCTTGTCATATACTGGGCACAAAACCAGACTCCGTGGTACTAATGAGTTTTTTTTTTAAAACTCACTACCTAATACATTGCCCGACCCGGGAATCGAACCGAGACCCTTTACCCGGCAGTCGCACTTGCTACCATTCGGCCAACGAGTAGTCCAAAGTAATAGTTTACAGTATTTCTATAAAGTTAATGTCAAAAAGCAACATTATAATCCAAAGACTTGGATTGGGACGATTTTGAATCCAAAGATTTGAATTACGATCGGTTATTAAGTTCAGCCGTAAGAATCGAACTATACTTCATCTTCTTGTTCCTATATATAACTGACGTCACCATCTTCTCCTAGGACGAGGCGAGGCAGGCGGCGCGATGGCGTGCGCCGGCTGCGAGAAGCCCATCCTGGACAAGTTCCTCCTCCACGTGCTGGAGCGCGCATGGCACGCCGCCTGCGTCCGCTGCGCCGATTGCCGTGCACCACTTGCTGACAAATGCTATTCCAGAGACAACAAACTGTTCTGCCGAAACGATTTCTTCAGGTAAGTCTTTATGAAGCTTCTAGAATTAAGAACTTTCCTCAATACTTGGATAGGTACACAAGGCAGCACTTCAAGCCGTTCAAACCAGTGTAAACTGACCGTTGAACGTATGGAAAGGTTATATAAAGCGAGATCATGATAAATTGGATATTTTATCTCGATGTGTAGCAGTGTCTACTTAGGGTCTATTGAAAAGACTGATAGTTTTCGCAATACACGTAAACATGTTGAATGTAGCCGACGTATTTATTTAAGAACATTAGCTTTATCCTTACATGCGAGTTTTATATCCCCTTTTACATAATATAAATCGTATACGTGGAATTCAATTGCAAAGAAAACTTCAAGTCGGAAATTTCTAGTGAATTATCATAAAACATCAACAGATTTTACTGTGTTGAATACCGCACTGGTGTTACAGACTATAATTTTCCTTTTACAACGAATGTGAAGAGGTTTCGAAATGAATCGCTAATGACAACATTACTGGTTGATAGACAAAGTCTATGCAATCGCCATATTAGGATCGACGCGAACTTACGTTTACTGAACCAAGTATTCACGAATTTCGGTACTTCAGTGCAGCCGAGGCTTTAAGTTTAGCACGCAAACACGATTTGGCGCACACGACGTAGTTTTGATTGACATGGTGTTACACACGTGATGCGAATTTTAAGGCCCAAACTGTTCACAGAATGATGGATCGCAATTTTGAGCTATAGACTCAGTCAAAGGGTAATAATGGCGATAAAATTGCTTCGAGACGGGAATATATCGTACGATTTTAGGAAATATAGTATTCTATACCTTAGTAAAACTATATGAAAACACATTTTTGTAGATTTGGACCCATATTGCTAATGGTCCCAATGTAGCTCCTTGTGGCATTCCTTTTTGTAAGTTTACATGCATCATAATTCATATTTTTTATATTAGTACAAAAAATATTATGTAGTAGATGTGCAGAGCATATATTAAGATACTGTTTTAACTCGTCGAGTACCGTCATTATAGAATCATAACATTATAGAATTATAGAACAATAGGTTGCGGTCACCGGTGACCGCAACCTATTGTTCTATAATTGTGTCTATAATGACGGTACTCGATGAGTTGAAAGATGAAAGGACATAATTTTGCTCAGACATTCGTAGCATTTTTTAAACAAGGAATAAGTGAAGTAAAACAGTTCCACATAGTACATTCTTTCCTAATTTTAGGGTGGCTGTGCCGCGTTATTACGCAATGGGCCCACACTAAGATTAATACGAAACACAAAATTATTAGAGTGTCTATAACTTACATTGAATTTGAAACTAAGACCTATTCCAATAAATACTTTATAGCTTTATTAATTGGCCAATCATAATTATTATTCACTGTTAAATGTGTATACTGATTGCGAATACTGTTGTCACCTCTGTCCTCTATGATTGCTAGAACAATGTCAGAAGCATTAAATTGTACTTTTCCTTCAACTTTGGATCAATGAAACTTTATTTTTGTTGCAATTGATTTTGAAAGTTTAGCCTTTAGAGTTGTTTATGTCTAAATTTACAGGGTTGTTAAGTTACTTAGGCAATGTTTTTGTTTTAGGTAGTTCTACAGGTTTAATGTTTTTGCTCAACGACGTAAATATAATACTTAGTTATAACTGTCTTCAAGTACTCTAAAGTCTGTAAACAATTCTGATGCATTAAAGCTGCGAACTAAAGTTTACACAGTGTAAAATATTTTTACGATTGAAGTCTTAACTAGTAGAAAAACATCATTTTTATCAAGGACTTCATATTCATCACCTAAGTACAAATCTAATGGAATTCCATTTGATTCTATTCCCATTAATTTATTTCTATGACTGTTTTTTCAACAATAAAAAATAGATTAACATACGCATCATTAAAGAATCGTTTGATAGATTCATCAGATCATTATAAATTAGACAAACAGTCGTCATGTAGTAAATTACAATCCATAAAAACTTGTACATTTGACATCACTTTGATTGCCTTCTAGTTTTACTTAATATTAATGCTATTTCTGATACTGAGATTACAGAACAAATCTTCATTTGATAGTTCTAGAAACCGAAAAGTGCCCAATTTGAAAATATATTACTCGTAAACATTTCTGATTTGCTTTGATTTTTCCTTCATATTTTTACAATAAGAAACGCCATAAGATTTTGGAATTTGTGGCTCTATAAAAGGTCGCGTGTCTTTTTAGTTGAATTATATCAATGATACCCTAAATAAATAACTATTTTGGCTTTGATTTAAAACTATTGAGAGTATAATTACAATTCTTGTAGATAAAACGACAACAATAACAATGAGCATTATTGTTAAAAAAAGAAAATGTGAATGATTTAGGAATGTTTAAGTTAATTCTCAATAAAAGAACACTCATAATACAAACCATGAAAACAACCTCCATATTAAAAATTCCTGCTAACATTCTATACCATGATATACAAACATTCATCATTATCATTATCCATTGCTTCTTCACAATTTTTATTTACGACTTCATTGACCTTCAAGTTTCTAGGGCTTCTATGTCTATGCACATTGTATGTTCTATCAACATTAAACTGTCTTACAATTACTTGTGTACCCACAGATGTGGCTAATTATGTCATCATCAGTCCGTGACGCGTCTTAATGCCGACAAGCAAGACGATTACCATCAATTTTCATTATGAACACAAGAACGTCGTTAGTTTGTGTAATGTTAGTACTAGGGTACATGTTGACACTATTATTGGTAAAAATGTTTTTATTGATATTGATTTTCGTAGTTGCTTCATCAGTTAAAGATTCTAGCAAAGTCTTATACAAACTCATTACGAGCATATTTAACATTTTGTTAAGATTTTTCTTTTGATCGAAGTAGATGTGCTAACTCAAACATGGATGGTGATGAATGATTTTCTAGCTGGTTACCTCTTCCCGATAACCATCGATTTTTTCGTAAAAACATCTAATTCTTTATAACATTGGGAATTATAGGCACGGTTCATTGCAACTTTATAGGACTAAAGAAATGGTTTTTTCCAAAAACTTGTAAATTAATTCTAAAGAAAGTAGAGTTAACTAACCAATGTGTCAGAGAAAGTTATATTTCAATCGCAAATATAAGAAGAAAACATAGAGTAATCCATAAATCAATAAATATTTAAACTTGTCCGCAAAGAAACCAGTTTACGAAGATAAGTCGCAGTTTCTATTTCTTCTTTGATGTCGGTAATGGTTTCAATATCATTTCGTTAGTATGCCTAATTCGAGTTTTGATCTGTAGGTAAAAATAAATCAGTATTGACTGATGATCTGTCTTTAAAGTCTGTATTTAGACTGAGAGCGTGTAAAGTATTAAGTTTTGAAGATCTTTGAATCAATTATACAAATTGATTGTTACTGTGTCAGCTTTGAATATTTTATCGATTGAATATTTTTGCCTTGTTAGTGAGCTGCATATAAAAGAAACTTGTGTTAAGAATTCTTTATAATTAATTATGCGTCTCGTCTGCATTTTTTATATATTCTTCGCCACATCTGTCGATATTTATCAAAAACAGCTAAATCTTACATTTTTTATAGTATGTTTGATATACTGTCCAAAAGAGCCCAGTAAAAAGTATCTATTAAACTAAAATGTCCAAATTACATGGCGCCAAAAGTTTTAAAAAAGGAACAAAAAAAAAACAATTTTGTCGCAGGTCAGGTAAGAGCGGAAAACGGTTCACTTACGACTTCCGGTGACTTGATGGTTTAATTCAGCCTGTATTGTGGTTAGGGTTCCGTGAAATTATAGATGTTGGTACCTATGCATTTGAGATAAAAGAAAGATGCTGCAACTAGAATTAATTATAATTGATAGAGAAGTACAAGTCTGAAGGCATATGTTCTAGATGTAACACACACATTTATCATGTGTTTTGGATTGTCACAAGTCACAGGTAAATAATGTATTTCTTATTATATGTTATTTGACCATAAACACTTTCTTTTTTATCTTCTACTCTAGCAGAGTTTCAAAAATCCATCCGTCACCACAATTATGTTCGTATTTCGTTCGTATTGTACGAGAGAAAATGGAAGTAAAGCATAGATAAATTACAAACATAAGATATGATAAATAGGATATAACAAAAGAATGACCACTAAATGTTGAACACAATACAAAAACAATAGCAATACAAAAATATGATTTTAATGGAACGCTTGAAATAGTAATATTTCAATTTGAATTTTACATTGTAGCGTATAAACCTGTCTACATTTGACAGTTAGTGTGACATCCATGATGAAACACTTGACATCGACACTCGTAACACTACAATAGTTATTGAACAAAGACACTTAAAATTACGTCAAACCTTTATTAAGTACATGCTTATAAAATAATGTTAGTTTGTTGGGAAACTCTAATAAATACTCCTTTTGTATGGGGCGTTGTCTAAGCGCTAAGGTGGCCTGGAGGTTAAGGCACCTTGCAGCAGACGCTAAAGTAACATTTTCCAAGTTATAGTATTTTAAGCTTGTCTTGGAGATATGACGAAACATAGCTCTGCCTTTAATAAAGTATTAAATCTCCAATTGTTTAACACCATATAGGTAATTCAATAAATAGGTGTTCCATTAGGGTCAAATTATTGTACACATAATCCTAAATGCACTTTAATTTTTAAACTTTTTGGTGTCACATGTATTCTTTTGATTTACACAAAAAATGCATGTCTATACAGAATCCCATCGACCTTCCCCATTTTTATTTAAACCTTTGTTTTGATGATGCCATACTTTTAGTGACATTTCAACTTCCTCAATATAAGTGACATCATTTCCGTTGTTTGACACCCCGTCATTACTGCGGTAGGTTTTCGACGGCGCTTCAAAAGTTTGCGGTGTAATCTATGTAATAACTTAACTAAACTTTATAAAATTGGGGGGACGTTCATAAATATCATCATAAACTCTAAAGCACCAATTTCCTATAGCGTACTTAGAATGCTTACGACAAATCTTTAAGGAATTCCACAGGGAACATTTTAGGTCCTTTTTTGGTCAAAGATTAAGCTTAAGCTTTATGGTAACAAAGCTCTGTCAACAAACAAAATGTAATATATTCCTCGACGATAAAATTAAACGCTTTATCATTATGTACATATTTCCCTAATAATTCTTCGCAAATGTCATCGTAAAATCTTATTTGTCGAGGCATGAGAGTCATCTTGATTATAACTTCAAAACAGCTGTCATACTTCAATTTTAATGTCATCAGTCGACAACGTAAATCATGTTTAGCTGGAATTGTCTTAAAAATAATTTGAAAGACTAAAAGGGTCTGCCTTCAGGCCATGGCAAACTCAACTAAGGCAGAGGGCATAAAACATTCATGCTGACGCGGACACAATTAAAAAATGAAGCGCAGCTCAGGCTAAGAAGCAAATTGATGAATGTTATAATCAATTAAAATTGCGTAGCTTTATTCTTAAGAATATTTTGTTTCATCCTTTATGGTATATATTTATATTTCTCCGTCATTTGCCTTTCTTATTTTTCATTATTTCGTATTTTAAAGCATTTTTCTAAATTCAATGTTTAGCTCCATTTTCTGACGTGTAATTATTTTGTGCATCATAAGTATCGTCTTGTTCGAAATTCAAAACTTTTTCTTTGAAATCGGTGGCAACAGTTTGAGGTATGACATGGCGAGTTGCCAGCTTCATACAGCCAAACCAAGTTTATGTTTTATTCATTCGGCCTCCATCGTTTATGCAAATGTGGCTGGTAATAATTCAATGATGATAAAATAATAAAAAAACAACATTGCGGCAAAAATTCTTGTTCGCAATGTAATTAGAAGTAAACCTGAGGGCTTGATGCGATTGATTTTTATTTCCATCAGAATCTTATTTATGCTGAAGTTCTGTGGCAAAACGAAATTTCCTTAGTACCGAAGCACATGTAAGTTATTAAACAAATGAATTATTATTATTTTGTGATAAATCGTTCTTAAGTAGATGTGCTTTGTTTATAAAATTATTAGACAATAACAATAATAGATATTTACTTGAGTAGTATCGTACAATAAAATCGCAATATTGAACTGATTATTATACCTTCATCATTTTGCATAAAAACAAAAATCGAATTGATTACTATCGATCATTTCCAAATGAATTCTAACTAAATACAATTAGAGGCTGAAATTACGTGAATCAAAAACGTTTAGTCTAATAACATGCCTTGATATTAAAATCTAGATTGAATACACTAATTTTGTTTTTAAGTTAAATCCTCATGTCTCAACCTCAACGTGACCCTTGAATCGGATTATTTCATAATGATTACGGTAATCGATATATATCGTAATCGTACATCATTAAATCGGTGCTAATTATCATAATATTAGAAGATATTGCTCTTATATGACGAGTTGTGTTTACCCGTCGTTTTATTGATCACAAATTAGTGTTGTAGTCAGTAATCAAAAGGATTAGAATTAATTAGGTAGAGGTACAATTGTTATAAATCCATAACGGATAGTCTAGAATTCAAAATAATATTTCTTAAACAGAATTTTAGTCATAATTGACAACGAAGAACAAAAAATAGTGATAGATTTATTAAATCACACATATTTGACATTAGAAAACTAAATATCGTACACGATTTCAAAAAAGGAAAAAGAACATATTTTTCAAATTTCGAAACGATCACAGACAATGCCGCGGGACGGCGATCATTTAAATCATTATCGAATAAGGTCTGGCCCACATAGCCAGACGAAAATAACATAAAATATGAATTAAAGCCGTTCGCGGGAACTTAAATCTATCAAAAACGACTATTAACATTCATTAGACCGCTACTAGACGCCCGACTTTTTTTTAAAATAATCGCTCACTGTTATAAACTTTGGAGTTCGGTACAATAAAAAGGCTGGTGTTACTTGGAAACTTTACTTTTTTTTATTTCCATGGTTTTTCCTCGTCTAAGAAAAGAGGTTGGATTGAGATAATGATGAATGTGAACAATGTAAATAACAGAACACTTTTTGTTTATTAGTAGGAAGTCGTTTTTTAAATCAACTGGTTTATTTTTAGCCTTAGTACTGCGTAGGGAATAAAATAGTTCTTACTAAAGTTTAAATGGTTATTCATGCAGAATATAGGGATAAGCCTAGATTACCATTACTGTAATAAGTTAATACCTAACAAAACCAAAAACGATTCAACTACCAAGAGTTTCGACTCGAAAAAGCCAAACCCATTTCTCTATCGAAATTGCGTAGCGCTTAAACTAGGGACTAGGCAAATAAACTAGAACCTCTATTTAGTCGTATGTTAAGCAATTTATCATATATTGAACGCATCACGTTGGTATTGATCGCACCTGACCGGATTTTGATGCAAGAACATTAATCATAGCAATTTGCATAACATTCACATGTCAACGTTGTGCCGAAAACGCTCGGCTACAGTCTAAGGCGAGGACTCATCTGCGGAAGATATATTATTTATTTATTAAAATATTTTTGAAATATATTTTGTAGCGCAATTTTTTGATCTCGTTAGGTCATTCTCGAATTGTGTAATGTAAAATTACTTACCCTATAGTTTTAACACAGACGTTTAACCCGTGGTATGCCAGAACGTAGATATCCGCGAGACACAATAGCTTTCCTATTGTGTCTCATACGCCGGCAGATAAATGGTTAATAAAAAATGTTTATGTAATTATATAGGTACTTTGTTTTCATGCATGATTAAATCAAGGAACCTAATCTACAAACATTTTTAGTAGAATATGGGTTTGGTGTGAAGGACTAAGGGTCTTTGTCATCTTGACTCTTGGTCTTTATTAACGTGATCCCAATGTGCAACTGTCCTGTTCACCAACACGTCGGTCTCTCTCTCCATATTAAAGTTACGTCACAAACTATGAATATTGATAGCAATATCTCTGAATATATTATCATAATTCGGGTTTCGATGATAGAACCATCAGAATGATGTCAGATAGATTAGAATGTCGATACAAATGTTATGATTGAGATGACACGAAACACAAATAATGTTAAACAGGTTACTATATATGCAATAAACTTTCTTCTTAACACATTAAACAGTCAAAATGCTAAAATTTATAAGCTATTGGGTCGTTAGTCTGCTGCAAAAATTCACAGATAAAAAATCTTGAAACTGTCAAAAATGACGTTTAACTGTCATTCTTTATATGCACAGGTAATCTGCTATACAGCCTCTACAATTTATAATGTATTTGAAATAAGTTTCTTTGTTTTCAGGCGATACGGTACAAAATGCAGTGGTTGTGGGCACGGCATCTCACCGTCGGACCTGGTACGCAAGGCTCGCGAAAAGGTGTTCCATCTCAACTGCTTCACATGTCTCGTGTGTCGGAAACAGCTGTCCACCGGCGAAGAGCTCTACGTCTTGGACGACAACAAGTTTATATGCAAAGAGGATTATCTCGCCGGGAAGGCGCCGACACAGCATTGTAAGTTTTTTATTCCAAATTTATGACTTGTAACCTCTTTACAAGCTCGGTGTATCTCTAATATATTTAAAGATTTCATTCGTTATCAACAGATAAGTAATATTTTATTTATGTGCTATCTCTGATGCCGCCGCTCTTACTAGATGGTTATCTCAACGCATCCATTGATGAACGGCCGTGCAATTAAAATGTGAAAGTTGGTAGCACTTGTTCCAATTTCAAATTAGACAAGGTGGAGCTTTACATCGATCGCGCGTTGTGAAAGGAATTCTGAATGGAAGTAGACGTGTGGCGACATCTCAGGTCAATGTCACAAAAGTAAATAACACGACAATTAGATTACTTTGAAATTGCGCTATTCTTGTCTCCAAACTAAACTAAACACTATTTACGTAAGAGCAATCAAACAGCGACATACGCCCGTCACCTCAACAATCACTCCCGATATTGCTATATGAAAAAATAAATTAGGTCTTTTATTGTCCTCACTCGTTCTCGGAGCCAATCGTTGCAGAATAATTACTTTTCTAAAACACGACCACGTCTCCTTCAATTTACGAACGTGACATGTGAGAATTGCATTCTCAATTTAAAATGCGTTTTTTATTGTTTAAGAACGTATCACGGCAACAATAAAACTCTCGGGGCACCCATTTTGAAATCGGATTTTTCGATCAATACGAACCGTAACAGAAATCCAAGTGAAGAAAAAAAGAAAAAAATTCGAAGGCGTCGGACAAAAAGCCAACCGCATTACACATTAGCCACGTCTCCACGCGGTAGTGTAGTGCTGTAGACATCGAGTTTTTTCTTTTTTATTTACCGCTTTGTCGAAGGCAACACCTTGACGTGAGGATGAAAAAACTGACGGATCGTAGGCAAGATGTAGTCGTGAGTTTGGGTAGGAGATAGTACAAATATTGTGATCGATACCCTTGTTAGGGAATGATAAAAGACCGAAATTGCATTTTAACCCGGTGATCCATTTCTTTCCTGTCGCTTGTAGCTATCTGCCATATTTGTATGAGCACATCTCGCATTGATATCCGGTATTTCTGGTTTTTATTGCCTCAATTATGACGTACCAAAATGTTAATATATTCAGTTCGCTACCGTATCGTGTAGCTCTTGAATATAGAGATTAATGCAAAATACAATTAACAATACATTTTTATATCTTTTGTTGTTTGAAACACATTTCACACATAATAGGTGTCCCATCTGTATCAATTTATTTATTGAATGAAAATAAAACGAAATAGTAAAATATTTTATGCTATTCGATTGTAGAGTAAAACCGTTATTTTCACTCGATTTACAACGTACCGTGAAAATTGATTGATACACCACTATGTTTTTAAAAACGGAAATATTAAATAAGTAGAGGAGCGCTAAGCGTATTCAAATACGGTATTGGTGCAATAAAATAGTGTTGTCCGTGTTAGCTCGTTCGCCCACAACATGTGCTAGCCGGCGGCGCCGCCCGTGTTTGCTCAGCGTAATTGTGTTTATACATTGTTAGAACGGTATAATGCCTGCAAATAAACTCGAGAGCAAAATAACGTGATGCAACACGACGCGACGGGACCAAAACGACGGGAAAATTTTAAGTGTAGCGAGGGGTTGAATATATTCGTAGCTCGTAGCAATCTGAGATTCGTACTACAAGACTAAAATAAATAGAAGACACATCATGGTTGATTACAATTTAGTCAAGACATGAATAAATATAACAGGAAATTTAGACATATTTTTGTAATTAATAGAATTCAATCTTTTAATCACAAAAAGTTTTACATAGAGAGGAGTGGAAGGAGGGTAGGGAGGCCTTTGCCCTGTAGTGGGACGATAATGGCTGAAAATAAATAAATAAGTAATAATAAAATTAAATCTAAGATACAACACGAAAAATACACACATACATTTTTAGTGTCGAGTTATTACTCCAACAATAACCGCAAACTCAAATATTGAAACCTCGGGATCAACGATGGGATCATCATCAACAGCCTATAAGTGCCCACTACCGAGCAAAGCCTCTTCTCACACGGAGAAGGTTTGAGCATTAATCACTACGCTTGCTCCATGAAATTATAGAAACTATAAGCCCAGGTTTCCTAACAATATTTTCCTTCACCGTTTGTCAGTGGTGTCTAAATAATCTTAGAAAATACATGTAACTCGGAAAAGGTCACATTGGTACTTGCCGATTAATAATATTCAAAAATTAACAGACAATGGCCTTATTGAAGTAATAATTAATATAAGAATTGAATTTTGATAAGTCAAATGCCTATGGAGACCTAAAAACATAAATCGGAAAAAAATACTTCAATCAGTACACTACTTGTTTTAAGGAAAAACTCGGTATACCTAATATAATAATAACAAATTGCTTGTCTCAAGACAACGTCGTGCTTCTATAAATCATTGATGTCTTGACCTGGGCTCGGCTAATTAAATTATTGTTGTTACAAGGCCTCCATCATTATCTAGGGTCATATACTAGTCTAGGAATCTGAGTTACTCATCTTATATGAGACTGTTATTGTTATATTATTATACTTTTTTTCTAAAACGTCTAGATATCATGCCTCATTGGCCGAGTGGTCGCAAGTGCGTCTGCCGGGCAAGGGGTCTCAGGTTCGATTGCCGGGTCTGGCGAAGTATTACTGGGTTTTTTAAAATATCCTCAGTAGTAGCACGGAGTCTGGAATCTTGTCTGGTATATGGCAATAGGCTCACTCTCTATTACATTGGACTCGTAATATAAATAGTGAAAAGTGGGTTGCATTGAGTACAGTGGCATTATTAAGTGCCGTAAGGTGCGCCTGTGCCTAGGCCTTCAGGGATAAAAGGCGTGATGTTATGTTATATCTAGATATGAAAAGGTATGGTTTGGAGAAAAATGTGTAATCTATGTTTGAATAAATGGTGATTTGATAATTTCTTGTTAATGTGTTGATGTGTAATCGTTTAGCGGCTTGTAAAAGCGATAAATAATAGAATGGATGTTTTTTATTTCTTAAATATTGGCCTTAGGTAGTAGGAAATAAGAGAAGCTACAACACGAACACTAGGTATACTTAGTGACTACTTTGACTCCCGCACACTTATAAATTTTTCATTACCATTTTTTCACATAAAAAACAACGTTTCACATTTTATAAAAATCTCTTTATACTAAATACCAACAATTTTGTACCGAAAATATTACCCAAAAAAAATATTTTCTCAAAACAAACAGCAAATAGAGAACCCTGCACAAAGTACAGTATCATCATTTAACCCCCAAGTTATCGTGCAATGATACGATAAGCCAAACAAGGAATTGTTTCCACCAGCTGAACTGAGCCCCACAGAGCAGTAGATTAGACCGGCGTGCGAGGGTTAAGAAGCTTACGTGGTTATTGATACGGTTCTGCAGAATTTGTGGAAGTTTTAATGCAATGAAGGTTTTATATGTAGATGTGGTTTTTAATCTCCTTGTCTATGTATTTTTTGGTTTATCAGTTTGATGCTAAAATACTCCTTTTTCTTTTGAATAGTTGCTTAGAAATGTAAATGAAATATTCAGACGTTTTAAAAATCAATTCCTTTTTTTAAGTTTTGTACGCACACAAAAATGTCTACTCTGAAACTCTCATGAAGTTTGCAATCTTTAAAATGTTTAAACAAAATTATATATTTTGTCATCCTCACAAAAAAGCGAAAAACTATTTAAAAAATCTCTCAAAAAAAAACTGTTTCCTGATCCGTAATTCGGTCCCCCGATCCTATTTCCTGTATGCGCATGGAGGTTGGATATCTGTTCGGGCCAGGCGAGGTCTGTCGGACCGGCGTGCGCCGATAACGCGTATCAATCAAACGCACGCGCGCTGGGCCCAATCGGCCCATCGGGGGAATAGGTGACCTTATCGCACCGTCGGCGGTGACGGGTTGAATTTTCTCTTCAACCATTCATCTTTGTGAAGTTATTTCGTTTCGATGTTGTAGGCGTTGAGTGTTTATTTCAAAGTACGTATCTATCTCTTTATTAGGAACTAGTTTATATTGTTTAATGGTTAACAAGAAAGTAGTAATTTAATTCCTTAAGATAGCATTTTTATTATTATTAAGTACTTTTTTTAAGGTGTATATATTTTAGTTTTTAGTTAGTTATATTTAAAGATTTATATATTTATTTTTTTCAATTAACTGTATAGAATACTTTTTAACGTCTAGCCTATCTATATTTAAGTTTAAGTTAAAGTAAAATCTAAGTGCTTTCATATTGAACAAATTCCGTATCAAATTTTTTGCTGTAACTCAAACTATAGATAGGTAACGCTAATAAATTCTAATCACTATGAACATCGACACAGTTTTTTAATCAGAATAAAATTAAAAAAAGAGTGCAAACTTTTTTAATCCCATAGCTTATAAAACTCTTTATTTTTATTTCTTAAAAAAATATACGCGAGATAATAGTATAACTGCTTGCGTCTGATCCCCAGTAGGGTTGCACCCTCAAAATAAACTGCTGGTGGCTGTTTGTGTTGCAACCGATATGACCGAGCTGTTTGTTGTGGCCACGCTCCAACGCGCCTCATTACATTATACACTTGTTCTAAACATTTATTCTACAAAAAATAAATCAAATAAAGAAAAATTAAAAGTTCAGCGGACAATTTTTGTCTATGAAAAAGGATCTTTCATTTTATTGTCAACTAGCGACCCGCCCCGGCTTCGCACGGGTGCAATATGCATGTATTATACATACAAACCTTCCTTAAGAATCACTCTATCTTTTAAAAAAAACCGCATCAAAATCCGTTGCGTAGTTTTAAAGATCTAAGCATACATACGGACATACAGCGAAAGCGACTTTGTTTTATACTATGTATTGATATCTGATCCAGTTTCTATTCAACACTATTTTCCCGGAAGTATATATAGACTATAGAGCACCTACCTAGACTTGCATAAAACTCATTTTCACCAAAAGTCAAGTGTTAGAG